TTGGAAAGGAATTTATCCTTCTAAGAGGTAGTATCCAGTTCCTTATTATAGCAGAACGGTTGTAGGGCTAAAAATACAGAGAATATCACCAACTAGAGACATTCTGTTTATGCGAAAGGCTCAAGGTGATGATCTCAATGGAGCAACACACATGCAATGTTCGTCGGACTTCACTGCCTATTTTGATATCAAGGTCAAAATATCCTTGTCTTCGTAAATTCGCATTCATGAAGACCGCGCGTTGAGTGAATTGAGTGCATTAGAACTGCAATACTCTGCGCATTCGTTCCGTGGTTTGTCATTCAATGACAAAGTTGCCGATATCATCACATTTCGAAAAGTTCTACCGATTTACAGAAAGAAACTTATAGCTGCGAGGCTATATAAGAACTTATAATGGAAACCATTTTGATCTTGGACCCGAAGGTAATCGGCGACGTTTCGCGCTAACCGCAATATACCATTCCTCGCAGTTTCGAGACTTCTCTTTCTAAGCATGGCCCTCTCGTCTTCTGTTGTAATTTTCCTTGATCGTGATAAACGACCAAGCGTCTAACCCACTCCCCCGTGAAAATACTATTCGACAATCAATGCCGACCATCTCACGTCAGTAAGCCGAGCTACGTGCCCAGTCCACCGTACCTCCTCCCTTCTGCCTTCGACGACCTCCTTGTCTCGGTCTACAGTCTGATCATCACGTTGAGTATGCAGTCGAGAAGTGAAATTTAAAACAATGTGTTCCTTGCCAAGACTGTTTCGATGACAGTTCGCCTTCGCTCTTCTGCTTTAGCGAGTGACCACGTCTCACGGTCATAAAATATTGCTAACAGGACGGTATGATTGAATAGGTGGAAGTGGGTTCCTTTTCGGATGTTGCTGTGGAGGATGTTATCGATGGAATGAAATGCGTGCCTCTTTTCCTTCGTTGAATCTCTCGCTGTTGTTGATCTCACGGCCCAGGTAAATGCATTTATCGATTGTATTCTTCGATCTTTTCTACATTTAATATTATCTGGGACCTCAACGGGCATCTGATTGCAGCATCTTCGTCCTTGACCGATTGATTTGCACTCTTACCTATGCAGCGTTTCTTTCGAGTTCTTATAAAGTGTCTTGTAGCCAACTGACGTTTTCTGCAAACAACGCCACTTCATCAAATAACCTTGAGGTGACTGAGCCATTCACAACTGATGTTCATCCCACTTCATCCTCTGGAATACAACCTCGAAACAGGCCACCTCTGGTGGAGATGGTGTCCTTTGTTTCACGCCCTTTCTCTACGGAATTCCGGATGAGGTGCCCAAATGACGCGACGTTTGAGAAGCAGTCAAAGTTCGCCTCCTGTAGCGGGTTGATATGATAGGTATCAGTGCCCTGTTCTGCCAGTCCAGTTCGCACTACGTTGTTCTCGTCAGTCAACAAAACTTCCTTGTAGTCGACGAAAGATATGCATAACTGTAGCTGGAATTGCCTAACGAGTTCGATGAGTTAATTTAAGGTATAGGTGTTATCCTTTGTGCTGCAGCTTCTGAGGAATCCTGCCTGTTCTATTGGTTGCTGTTAGTCTAGACTTATTGATAGTCTGCCTATGATGATCTAAATGAGCAGCTTGTAAACTTATGAAAGTAGGCAGATTGAGTG